GGGGGGTGTCTTTGGAGGGGGCACAGCCCTGCAGAGCCACTGGTGCTGGGGCTGGTGCTTCCAGCTCTGCAGCTTGCTCCAGGCTGTGTTTCCCCTTGCACATCCCAAACTGCACAAACCTGTCACACGCCAGCTCCCACGGTGCTGCTGCCGGGATGAGGCAGCAGTTGCCAGCTTGTGGGGACACAACGGGCCTTGGGGGACAACCTGAGGTCCCCAGGAGGAGTCCCCTGCCCTTACAGCCCAGCAGCCCCCTGGAGCAGTGCTGGGGGCTGGGATGGCTGCAGCCACCCTGCGGTGACAGCCGGGGATTTAGCGCTCCAAGAAGGAAATTGAATTTGGTGTCTGTCGAACACGGGCAGGTCGAGCGCCCTCGTATATCCACAGGATTTATGGGTTTCCCCAGGTGCTGGCCATGACCTGTGCAATCCTGCCCTGCTGCTCTCAGCCCAGTGGGGAGCCGGGCCCTGCAGCTGGACAGGGACCCCCCCAGGGCAGCCCCTCTGCCAACCCGGCCTCCCTGCACCCCCATGGCATGGGAAAAGGGGCTGAGGGTGCTTTCCTGTGCGGGGGGAGACCCCACGGGCCCAGGCAGGGGTTGGGCTGGGCTGGGTTGAAGGCAAAAGCCAGTAAATCTGGGTCTGGTTTATGGTGCTAATAAGTGTCAGCACAGGCTGTGCTCCCTGCTGGGGGCTCCTGTACCAGCTGGGTGTATGGCAAGGGGACCACAGCATGCCCAAAGCATGTCTGGGGACTCCAGTACCAGGTGTCCCCATGTCACCTCCCTTCTGTTCCTTGGGGACATCACCACACTTGGCTGGCAGTGCCAGGGCAGCTTGGTGAGGTGGTTATGCCATCCCTGGCTGCTGGCACAGAAGCAGGGTGCCCACCAGGGTGGCATCAGTGGTTCCCAGGGGACCCCCCCCTCTGTTTTCCATGGCACACACCATACACCAGCAGCTGCATCTCAGGGGAAACTCTTCAGCATCCTGTGCCTGGGTCTGGGGACAAGGGACCTTGCTGCAGAACATGGGGGTGGCCTTGGGGGCATGGGGGAGGCCGGGAAGGGCATCCCCCCCATACCCACAGCTGCATCTCCTGCTGAGCCCTCCACATGCCAGTTAATTTCACGCCAAGTGCTCTTGATGGATCTCTTGTTATTTTTGGTGAGCCGAGTCATAAATTTGTGCCACTTCACTGCAGCAAGCTGTTAAGTGGGGACAGGGAGCACCTCTTTCCAGCAGAGCAGGGGCACGGGCACCCTGACTGCACTGAGGATGTGGCACCCTGGGCCACGCTCCAGCCACAGCCCCTGTGACAGAGGGGTGTGTTTGGGGGGAGCTGTGTCACATCTGGGGAGGCTGTGACTGTGCTCAGCCAGGCTCAACCATCTCTGGCCCTCAAAGACACCATGTGGTGGGACTGGGTATCCCTGTATCCCCCCTGCAATGTCCCTTGACCCACGGTGGCCTGTCCCCATCCCTGTCACCTGCCTGTTCTCAGCAGAGCCCTCCTTTCTTCTAGGCAATGAGGTTGAGGAGAACCAGAAGGTGAAAACCCAGTGGCCACGGTCAGCGGATGAGCCAGGTGTCTACATGGCCCAGACAGGTACTGGTGCTGCCCTGGAGTGGGGACAAGCACAGGGCCCTGCTAGCACTGGGCTTGGGCATGTGGCCATGGGCAGGGGAGATGGAGAAGGAACGACTCCCTTCGCTTTCTTCCTACCCACAGACTGACTTAATTTGCTTCATTTATATATTTTTCCTGTACACCTTCCTCTGAGGGTTGTAAAGCAAAAAAAAAAAAAAAAAAAGAGAGAGAAAAAAAAAATCCAGTAATTGGTTCGTTCAAATGTATTTATTTGGCAAATCCATCTGGGTAATTTGAGTGCACTGCTCCCCCCTCCCCAGCCCCCTCCTGATTTATGGTCAGAGGGCTCAGAGGCGAGTGGGAGATGGATGAGCCCTGGTGCTGGGAGAGGAGTTCCACTCCATGTGCCTGGCATGCAGATGTCCTCCCAGCCACGCTCGGGTGCTCACAGGGGTCCTGCCACCCTGGGACTGCTCAGGAGTGTGGGGTGACCCCTGTGGGAACCTGATCCAGCCTTGGTGTCCCCATGTGACATGGAGCAGCCACAAATGTGGAGCGTCCCACCTGTCTCCAGGACAAATTGTCCCCTTCGGAGCCCTCCTCTGTATGTTCCTTTGTAATTTAAACTGATGGCCTTTTCTCCTGGCCTGTCCAATAGTTTCAGAGACATCATCAAGCTTAATAAGAGCCAGGTTGTTGTAAATGTCAATGCTGGGGAGAGGGAACCGTGCTGGGCTGCCTGGCCTGGATGCTGTCCCCGTGCCAGCTGCCATCCTGTGCCCTGACCCCTTCTCCAGGTGCAGCTGGGGCTGGGGGTGGGCACCTTGGCCCCACCTGTGTCCTCGGTGTCCTCCCTGACTGCTTGATCCCTTTCCCGTCCCCCCATTCGGGCTCCAATTTCACCTCCCCAGCCTCCCGGGTCTCAGGTTCGGTGTCTCCCGCAGGGGACCCGGCGGCAGAGGAATGGTCCCAGTGGAGCGTCTGCTCCCTGACCTGTGGGCAGGGCTCCCAGGTACGGACACGATCCTGTGTCTCCTCGCCCTACGGGACGCTGTGCAGCGGGCTGCTCCGGGAGACCCGCACCTGCAATAACTCGGCCACCTGCCCAGGTACGGGGGGCACCGGGGGGACTGGGGGGGCG